GAACCAAATCCACTCTAGTCTATAGCTTGCATAAGACATAATAAGCCAACACTTATAAATAGTAATTACACTTGTATCAGACATATCTTCCATCTAAGAAGATACTTCGTATGAAACAAAAGAGACAAAATGCTTAGCATAATCACAAAGACAACCTCATAGGATTTTCAGTTTATAAGCACTACAAAAAACAAACAGATATGGAGCACTCTATAAAACGCGAAAAATTCAGGAAACAAGATGTTAAAGCAAAGGTCTATCCTGTAGACTGCTTTCTTCACAGTAACAAATAAAAGGTATGTTTAAACTAAGGAGCACTCTATAAAAAACGAAAAAATTCTCAGTACTTTACAATACAAACCTAAATTAACAAAATGAACTTACCTTGCAAGTCTCCCTCATTCTCTGTATCAGCTCTGGAGTTTTAATCTTCAAAATAACAAGTCAATAAGTAAACAGAAAAGGATAATAAGAAGAAAAAAAAAAGTTCACTGGACAATTAATCTCTATGAGTCTACCCAAGTATGAGGAGTAAAGTAATAAAGCATACCTCGACAATGTGCTGCAGGTTGCTCTCAGGCTCAATCTTGGGGATACCCTATATGTTTTAAAAGCATCTCATAAAGACTTCATAAGTTGCAGATTCATAAATATCAGAGATCATATATTGGTGCATAAAGGAAAACAGGTATCTCCGAGGGGTCATCATTGTCTCATCGCCTGTAACTGTCTAAAAATCAACTTTCAGGGGAGATACACTTGTTGACAATAGAAAGAAAAAACTTACATCCATAGCCCAATCAGGTAGCTCAATGTGCTTTGGTACAGTACGGTAACTTGATATGGGGTAAGGCCTTAATGATCTACACGGGAAAAGGTTGAGTTCAGTAAAGGTCAAAAATATGAGATGTCAACACCAAGATGCATGTTTTCATTCATAACCACAGTAACAATAAATCATAGTATAAACATATACAAAATAATAAGTACATAAAAAGAAGGGCTGTAATCAGAAATGTATCCACAAAAGAGTAATGTTGACATGATACCCTGTCCAATCGAAATACGGAAGTTTTGAAGTCCGAGATTGTCCTTTTCGTAAGCAATAAAGCCAACCTTCACTATCTTTGTCCCCAGCAGCATCAGTCTGTAAAGAAGATGTATTTGCCTTTGTATGGACCGATTTATGAGAGCTCCATGATTCCTTGAAACACTCCTGGGAACTACAATAGGTAAAAGTTTGTCAATCAAAAGGCTAAAAATAAATAGAAAAACATAATTATGTATCAACCATTTTATCTATGCACCATTGAAAGTGCGGATGCCAGAAAGTCAGTAATGGCAGGAACATCCTTCTCAAAGTAATACCCCCGCCCCTCAAGCCCCACCACCCTCTCATTCTCCAAAGTCTTGAAGAATTATACTCTGTAATAGATTAGGCTAAGAGAACTAAAGAGTGCAATGACATTATTAAAACTTCCAAGTAGAATATAATTACAAAATCACAAACAAAGCCCCAAGTGAATTTTGACTATGTTATAGTAGGAAAAAAAAAAAAGATAGATAATTACCAGAAAGCAGCACCTTCCTTTGGGAGCTTCAATTGTACACACTTTGGACACCTACGAAAATTAAATCATACAAGTTAAATTGAGCTCATAGCCTCATATACTTTAAACTCAATTGTTGAACAATCTCGTGAAATCTAGAGTATACCACAAAATTGACACAAGCAAATCTGGGATGCATGTTAGTTACTCATTGATCATAACACAAGCGTTTAAACTACAAAGGTATGTTTTCGGTGTCATGCACTCAGCGACTCATGCATTATACATTAATACGATGTTAGTATTCCCTATTCAGTATTCAAAATCCCCAATAGGTATTACAAGATCATCTTCCTTGCAAAAAATTACATCATAGGCTTGTCTACAATATCTTTGGACCTCAATAATTGTATTAATAATAGTTTGCTACTTGGTATTACAAAAGAATATGAGTTAAATTAATGAAATTGTTGTATACTAATAGGTACTTCATAATTCATTCCCTTACTCCTCTAGTCCTCTATATATCCCCGCCCGCCTCCCTCCCTAGTCGATTCTATATCCTCATCCCACCCTTCTATCCCTATCACTCGTACCAAAAGCCCTGTAAAGTAAGTAATATCAAGTAAAAGTTAATGAAAGATTCCCTTTCTCCAATTCACAAAACTGTCTTTTACAATAAATTAAACTCAAACAAACCTTAATTGGGGGAAAACAAAATTGAAAGTCTACAAATTAATGTTAAAACCAATGTAAATTAAAATGGGGCGCATTCAATTAATCAAGAAACCAACAGAAAAATCCAAATTTTTAACTAATTTTTTTTTTAAAAAAAAAACATACTGAAGATGAGCAGGTTTGGAGCATCGAGAACACAATAAAGCCGAATCCTTTGCTTCGGACCCATCATTCGCCATTGTTTATTGACTGTCAAGATTAAATAAGAGCAAATAAATAAGTACCCAGAAAACTAACAAGAAATCAATCATAAGATATATCATACACAAATCATTTTTTCTGGGTATACCTGATGTTCAATTGAATTGGAAAAAAAATTAATTAAAAAAAAGAATAAATTGAAAATTGGGGAAGGGAGGAAATTGGGAGGAGAGAGAAGGATGAAGGGACAATTAGGGTTGAAGCAGCCAAGTAAAGGTTGGCGGGGAGGAAGATGAAAACTAAGATTTAACTGTAATTTACGAGAAAATCCCTTCTTTTTTTTTTTTTTTACTATGAAATTAAAATTTAAATTTAGTTGATTTTTTTTATTTTTAATAGATCAGGTAAGTACCTGTGTAATGTGTACTTGTGTAAATTTAATTGAAATTCTTAATTAAACACTCCATATGAAAATTATGCACTTTCGAGAATTATTTATTCATATTTAATTATAAACTACATGAACCCCGTGCGATGCACGGTTTGTTTAAATTTTTTAAAATAATATTTTTACATATATATTTATGTGCTAAAAATTGTTAAATATTTAGATAAAATTCCTGATATTAAAAGATAATATTTTATATTTAATTAATTTAAACTGGATTATCTGATTACGTGTCAGTTAAATTATTTAATTCTAAAAGAAATTAATAATCTCATATTTAATTGGCTACCACTAAAATTTATTATCTTACGTGGCGCGATGAAAAAATTAAATCCTACTTGGCTCTCTAAAAACTCGGGAAAAAACTCCCCTTTATATATATAATATTAGATATTAGATTGGTTAGAAAAATAAAGAAGTTATTTTCTTTCAATACGTGTAAAAGTTTATAATTCAATTCTTATTTTAAAATCGTACATCACACGGAGTTAAATCTAGTGCTATTATAATATTATATACACTTGTTGTTCAATTTAATGTTAACTACGAGTAATATGGAGATTGCATTAAATTAATTCACCAAACAAACAACCTAAAAGTTTCAAAGCCCTCCAATAACTAAACAGCATAAATAGTTTCTTAAATAGCACTTGATTTGTACAGTACTCTGTATTGTTTTACACATATTGGTAATCTTTTTTTTTTTTAATAATTATTATTAATCATATTCTCTTCTAAAATGTCTCTTCCGAGACATCTAATATTCTCTTCTAATTTATACTTGTACATTTTATCTTGAATTGTTTGTTTGTCATAACTCAATACTCATACTTGTATGTCACTTGGTTAATCATCTACTTTTTATAGTCTATTAATCAAGTTTACATGTAATTTGTAATTAGGGTTTTAATATTATATAGAAAAAGTGTAATTTCATTGAAATGTCATTTTGGATGATATCCAAAACCAATCAATCCACTAACTCCATTATTTTAACTGAACTTATATGAAATTAACTAAGGGTCTGTTTTGTTTACCTTATTTTCACTTATTTCAGGTTTAATAAGTTCAGATAAGGGTTAATAAGTTCAGATAAGTTCAGGGTTAATAAGTTCTAAATTAACGTTCTCCTCACCTTATTTCCACTTATTATATTTATATAGAGTTATTACTAATCAAGATTGCTTTTCACTTCTTTTTTTTTTTTTTGTAAAATTTTATGTGTTTTATTATCATGATTTTATATAAGAATAAAGTAACATTTCCATAAAAAATAAAATTAAAGTAACGTTATACTCATAAGTTATGGTAAGACTAGATAAATTTTGCTTATATAAAAGTTAAGCAAATCAACAATTTTATCTGTCTATACGAATTTATCCGTCTATCATTGTTGCAACATTTACGCTTCACAATTTTACCCGTCTATACGAATTAGGGATGCCAATATTTCAAGAGGTTGAAGAAATGGAGACTAGAGCAGATTATAATTTGTATGATATTCAAAGGAAAAAAGCTATGAACCGTATTCGGGATAAAATAACAAAAGATATATGGAAGTCGGTTGGAGGTGTCGTAGAGGATAATATAGAAGAAGGAGATGATGAGAATAATGATGATGAAGCATTAGAAGATTAAAATTTTATTTGGTGTTATTGCAACATACACTTTTGCTTGTTTCACTGTTTATTTTTTTTAATATTTGAAATTATCAAAATGCTAATATTTTCCTATTTTATTGCTTTTATTTTAATATATTGTTATATATATACTCATATTACCAATATGTTTCAAGAATGACAAATAATGTCTAATAAAGTGTTAATAAGTTTTAATAAGGTCAAATAAGTGAAAATAAGTGTTAATAAGGTGTAATAAGTTCAGAAAAGTAAAAATCAGGTGAATAGAACACACCCTATATTTATCTGACCTTATTAAACTTATAAGACTTTATTGAACTCATGGAAACTTGGTGTGTTCAATTCACCTGTTTTTTACTTATCTGAACTTTTTAAACCTTATCAAAACTTATTTTAGTTGTAATTTAAACTTAAAAAACTCTTATAAAAACTTATTTTTCATAAAACCGAATTTATTAGACTTAAAATAAGTAAAAATAAGATGAAAAGAATACCTTGTATTGAATGGATTTCAGGGTAATTAATTGAATCCTCCTCTTTATTGAACCAAACAAAGCCTTTTGCTGAAGCTTCCCAATTCACATTTCTCCTCACAATCCCCATCATTAGTGGCTGGTCTACTCACTCTTCAATCCTCACTACCAGTCTCTCTCTTCTCCACCATCATCGCCGCCGCTAATTTCGTTTCCTCCGTCGTTAACTCCGCCCCTTTTTTTTTCTCTATCTTGCTACATTCTCAATTCAGTTTCCCTTGAAGAAAATTATATGGGTTTTGCCAATTAGATGATCAAAACTACTTTTCTGAGCCTTAAATCGAATTGGGTTTCATGATTTTTCGATTGGTAAGTAATCAATTTCTCTTTAATGTCATACGAAGTAGCATGTTGAATTCCAGTCTTTTATATGATTAATTTTCAATTTATGTAAGTTTTTATTTGTGGGGTTTTACTAGAGATATGAAATTGAATGTGAGAAAGCATTTGTTCATAGTATAAAGTTTTCATCTTTGATAAATTTCTGCAAGTTTTCATCTTTGATAATTAAGCTAACTAGTTTAACTTAATTTTGCTTAATTTTATGGTTCACATCTTATTTTGCAATATTATACTTGTATATTTTTTTTGAAGAATTTGGATATTGTGTATACTATTAGTAGATAATGCCCTTTTCTGCTGTGTTGAGACAAAATGCTATATTGGTGCTAGACTATTGAATGGGAGATTGATAATTTGTCAAGAATTGTTTTACAAATATTGACATGTTTGTAAATTTGACTAATAGAGTGGATGGTGAATTGCGCGGGTTCTCCATGATACTCACATTTGGAACTAGCTTCCACCAATGTTCGATGAATGTGATTCCGACGTCCACAAAGATTTCAAACTTAAGGTTTTCGATCAGAATCCTTGTTGCTTCACTTCAGAAAGTGGCATTATCCCATGGAAATGGGGGTCATTTTGGACTATCTTTTGTACAAGTAAAGGAGCTCAGTAAAATTGGTGGTTGCAAGTAAGTTATTGCTGATCTTGCTGTGACTTTCGCTTTGTATCGAGTAAATTTTTTTGGATGGCATTTGATATATTTGTTTGTCTTTGTATTTGAATTATTCCTGGTATCATGCACCAAGAGTACCAAGTCATGTTCTTTGTTTCTGTATATAATTGTGTCATCATAATATGTAAGAGACTAAGTGATAAGAGCACAATTGATCTAGATATTACTATTGCTTGCTTTTTCCATTGAACTGAGTTCTTACTCGTTTTCCACCACAGCTTTATTGTTTGTAAGGAAGAATTGTGACTAAGGCCTTGAGGCTGTAGAACATTGGGATCAGAAGACCATATCTTGTTAGCTAAGAACTTGGAATTTCAGTTTAGCAGTGCAGAATGTAATTGGATTAATTGGGCCTTTTTGTGTATAGCAAGAATCTTTTATTACGTAGTACAGTGACCTTAGCAAAGTAGTGATTGCAATATAATTGCTTGTAAAAGTTGTAATAATTACTTAATGCTTATAGTAAATTAGTAACAATGTCTCCTCCTATCATCGGAAGGTTATAGTCTCTTGCATGTCAGGTAGCCAGTTGGGTCTACAAAGTTATGCTTTCATGGTAAACATCATGCCATCAGGAGAGTGGTGAACACTTTTGGATGGAAGGAGCAAGTACACATTGATACTCATATCTGTGATGGAATTTTCCATAATGGTCCAGCAGATCATAGTGCAGTGCAAGGTTCATAACCAGGATTGTGAACATGCACAATTACAAGATAAAAAGAGTCGGCTCTAAGCTAAAGTGACTGCTGAAGTTTTAGTTTATCATATCATTGTTTTGTAAAGTTATGTTTGCTTTCATTATACCTAATTAAAGGAATTGTTTGCAGGAGAATGGACTGGTCCATTAAGAGCAGTGCAGATGGCAAAGGATTGGATCCTCTCACTGGCAGTGGTGATGGAAGAACTCGATTACTTAAAACAATTCAGAGTCTTCAGATTAAATTAAATGCAAGAATTCGAGATTTCCGGAAAGATCTTCCTAAAAAGTTTCTTTTTTTCTTGGTGGGTTTCTATTGCGCAACTGCTTTTGCTACAGTAATTGGGCAAACAGGTGATTGGGACATAATGTCTGCTGCCGTGGCTGTTGCTGTGGTGGAGGGTATTGGGGCTCTTATGTACAAAGCTTCTGTACCTTTGCTTGACAGGAGCAGGAACCTTATAGTTCTTTTTAATTACTGGAAAGCTGGCCTTACATTGGGTCTTTTCTTGGATTCATTCAAGTATGAAATAAGTTGGGAATGCTTGTTCTTGTATTTGCCATGCTAGACTTCCTACATGTTAATTACTTTTGAGCCTTATTTTCAGGTATTAAGGTATTACGTGTCAACTCTTTTTGAAGATAGGAACTTGAATTACTATGAAATGAAGCAGTTTAAGACGTAGCCAGAATGTACATTGGTGTTCACAAAAGGGTAAGGCCTCTAGACATCCCACTTCAATTATGATAATTAATGGAACAGAACAAAGCAAAAGTTAGTAGGCTTGGAATAGACAAAAAGGGCTCTATAACAGGATCTAACATAACATGATCACAATGGTAGTTGCAATTCATTATTTTATTATTGGAGTATATACCTAACGTAATATTGATTGCCATGAATTTATTGAATCGTAAATTTGATTCTGTGAACGATGATTCTCTCAGCTATTCACTGAACAGGTCAATTCATAGTTTTTATAATATCTACTACGTAACATATTTCCTTGTTGCCCATTGGCTCTATTATTGTGACTGAAACTTCCCTTTGCATCTTTGGTGAAATATTTGTACCATTGTACACTCTAGGCGCTCTAATAACTATGTTAACATGATAAGATGCAGGTGGTGTTCTGAGGGTTTGATGATTTTCTGTTTTGCAGGTTTTTATGGAGTTGTTCTAGAGAAGCTTTATTCGGAAGAGAAATGTATGTCATTTACTCAATTGCTACTTATGAAGAATATAGTGGGTTCACATACAATTATACAGCACCTTTTTTTTTCCTTCATCGAGGCTTGTAATATACTGTTGCAAGATGCTAAGCTTAGCATGAAATGCTGAAACAAAGGTTGCTAACAGGCATGTATAGAAAGGGCAAAATCATGTTGCAAATTATTTGCCATGCCTTCTGATTGTTAGGTGATGACTAGGATGTTTATATGCTTGTTTCTTTTTTTGTGTAAAAATGAATTCAAATTTCTAGGTATCTTAGAATATTTAAAATATACACTGTAAATTTATTTATACATATTTGAAATTCAAAGTTGCAATTGAAAATTTAACGCTCTAAATTTCAAAGTTGTCTATTACGGAGTATCTATTTTTGTGGGCGAGTTTAGTTATTTGCAATTGATCCCGCTAAGGAATAAAATTCGACAACTCCCATGAGGTCATGAATCATAGACGTAAAATTCTTTGCCGCACAGTGAATGAAATTGAGAAATTGACATCAACATCTCTGGAAAAAATCACAAAGATTACAGATCTCTTTGTTGGGACAGGGAAAATTATAGACATTCCCTTTTTTTTTTTTTTTTGAACGGGAGTTATAGACATAGGTATATTTATATACAATTTACATTTTACATGAGCTTCAAAGTACAAATCCCTTGAAAATCCAAAGGCTCTTAGCACCAGTATGAGCAGTTATGAAGGATTACACTGGTAATACATCTGTAACTCCATTTTCATTCTGTTGCAGTATCCTTAATGTTGAATGCATTTGTTGGCTATCAGCAGGGTTATTTGAAATGATACAAATATCAGGGTCCGTGTCCTTTATCAAACAGATAAAATTGGTGTGAATACCACAATTGGCGTGTGAAGGTCACAATCGGCGAAATCATCCAGGTGTGAAGGTCACAATCTTGCTTGCATCAAAGGAGCATGGAGAGCTGAGTCTAGAATCTAGATCAACAACATATTTAATGTACAGACAAACCAAAAAAGCGGTTCTTAAATCATGAGGAACTCCAAATCACCATCCTTGATTCAAGGCACAGCGAATTTCAGTAAACAAATAATGGAGTACCTTGTGTTAGTGGTTTTCCAGATAACATAATCATAATACAATTCTGTACATGCTCTTCAAACTGCACTGCGAGCTTGCCATAAATATCAGCTTGCAACTGCAGACAAAGTTGCATCAACACTACAATCACCCAACCCTTTAACACTCATTTCCAAGCAGATTATTTGGATCTCTTCTATCCTTCCTCGTTCTTTGAGGCCACTTACAAGCTCATTACATTTGCTAGCAGCCAAGAGAAAACCCTTATCAACCATTTCTCGGTACCAAGCATATGCCCCATCAAAATCATTCAGTTTGCAGTGTCCGTCAACTAGTACAGTGTAAGTATCAGCTTTTAGAAGAATTCCTTTAGCCTTCATATCATTGATTAGGTCTAATACCTTCTTCTGTTCTCCCATCCTCAAGTGGCCCAAAATCAAACTATTGTATGTCATCTTGTCAAGCTCAATTCCCTTGCTTGTCATCTCATCATGCAAAGAAAGCGCCTTTTCAAAGTTTCCATGCTCCACATTGGAATAAATAAGGGCATTATATACAACTCTATCAGGACTCAGGTTGAAAGCCAACATTTCTTCATAAATTTTATTTACTAGCAACAAGCCTACTTTGCTGCCAGCACTAATTAGAGAATGATAGGTGCTTAAGGTTGGTTTGATGCTTTTTTTCTTCATACAATCATACAACTCAATGGATTTCGAGATTTTTCCAGCACCAACATATCCGAGAATCAGAGAATTATAAGTGATAACATCAGGAGTCAAGCCTCTGTCAATTATCTTTGGAAAAAGATCTTCAGCTTCCTGTAATTTCCCATTCTTGCATAACCCATTAACAAGAGAATTATAAGTAACCAACGTTGGCTCTACACTTTTTCGCAACATCTCATCAAATAACCCAAAGGCAGCCTGCAGCTTCCCTGCATTGCACTGACCAGCAATAATCATGTTATATATCTGTGCATTTGGCGAAATCCCTCTTACCACCATATCCTCCATAACAACCTTAGCTTCAAGAAGCTTACCCTCTTTGCAAAGACTATTTATAAGAGCACCATAAGTGACTACATCCGGTTTTAAACCACGATTCTCCATACTTATCAGCACCTCAAAACTCTTTTCAATCATATGATTCCTACCATAACCATCAATGAGAATGTTATACGTCTCAATGGTGGGAGCAACTCCCTTTTCGCTCATCTTTTCCAACCATTTCTCCGCCTCCTCCATGTTTCCTGATTCACAGAACTTCTTGATCAGAGAATTAAAAGTAACAAAAGTAGGCCTCAAACCAAAAGACTCCATATTGTCCAATATAACCAACATTGTACCAGCATCACCACACTTCGAATACCCATCAAACAAAATGGTGCAAGTAAACCCGTCCGGCACGATACCATATGATTTCATCTCCTCCAATATCCCACCAGCTTCCTCCATTCTATGAGCCTTACTCAACCCATTTAGCAGTGAATTGAAAGTAACCAAATTAGGAGCTACATTATCCACCTTCATCCTTTCCTTCAAACTAAAAGCATCCTCCAAACACCCAACCTTACAATACCCATCAATCAATGTGTTATAAGTAACCTGACTCGGAACCAAATTTCTCTGAAACATTTCATCAAACAGTTGGTGTGCATCCTTAATTCTCTTTTCTTTACAAAACCCATTAATCAAAACATTATAAATAAACACATTAACACCAATTCCTCTCTCCTTCATCAAATTTAACAACTCTAAACCTCTCTCAAGTTCCCCAAGCTTCACAGCAGACTGTATCGCCTTCCCAAATGCAAATTTCTCGACCCGAAAACCGGAATCCAAAGCATCATCAAACAACTTAATCGCCTTATCAAATTGATGGGTAGAAACCAAACAATCAATCAACTTATTAAAAGCATTCATAGCAGGAAAATCTCTATCTTTTCTAATAATCTGAAGTAACCCCATTGCTTCATCTGGGAGCTTAGAATCAGCACAAGCGAACAAAACTAAACTGTAAAAACAGCATTTTAGAGAAGGATTGGAGAGAGAAAATACAGCGCAAAGCTCTAAGGGAGAAGAAAAGAGAGTTTTCGAATTGACGAGAGGTTTGATGAGTTCTTTAACTGAGTCGAATCGGGATCCAAGGATTAGAACTCGGAGTTTGCGCAACAATTCTTGCCTTTCCATGTCGATTTGTGAGGTGGGTGTGGGTGTTTCAATGGCGGTCGGAGGTGAAGAAAGGGAGGAGAGAGAAAATGAAGTGGGTGGTTTTGAAGGGTTAGAGGTGAAAAGTGGTGGAGGTTTGAGGAGGAGAAGACGAAGTTGTTTCACCATTGTTGTGTTTTCTTGAAGCAAAAATGGTGGAAGGCTGAGGGTTTTAGGGTGGTTTATAAGGTTGTATGGGGCGATTAGCGTCGTCGAATTATATTATAATCAAATGATGACGAAATTTGATCTTGAATAACCTCTCGGGTTATAATCTTACTAAGCTAGTTATCATCTACGAAGTACATCAACCAATAAACATTATACTACGTAATTTGTTTATTTTAGTAAGAAAATAAGTTGACAGTGGATTTTGATTTGTAGAATTGTAATACAAGTAGGATGTTTAATTTCTATAAACCTTGTATTTCATGATAAATGGAAAAAGTTACTTACATATTGCTTATAGATACATGGAACTTATGCTATGGAATTCTATATGATAGATGTAATTAGCTAAACATTTATTTTTTTCCAAAAGGATGAACCCATTATTCTTCGTTAATGAAGGAAAACCACCATGGATTTGCTTTAATCAAATTTCAAGCCAAACGGGAACACCAGTCTTCATAATCCAAAATTCACCTTGGATAAAATTTCTTACCATGAAGGGATCAACCTCCTTAGGATGATGCAAGACGTGAAACCCGGGCCACTTTACCCGGCCTAGAGTTGTTGCCCCGGAGCCTGTGTTCATGTATTCGGCGTAATACAATGTTGAGAGGGCGAAATTCCCTTCCCAATTAGTCCAACCTCTTGGATGAATAAACCCATCAATGTATGTTGTAGAAACAATTGTTCTTGAATGCTTCTTCCAAGGTCTCCCTAGGAAGGTCTTGAAAGATCGCTTTAGGTCTACAAACTCTGGTGCAGGTTGTATTCGTGACCCATGGATTGAGATCCCTGTGTTCTCATTCGGGTCCTCCCTCCCTTGGGCTGTGATCATATTATTCTGGTGCTTCATAGGCTTTCTAACAAAGATGTCACAATTTTGTAACACAACAGCCGCGTTACCAAATATAAAGTCTATTGTGCCATATATGTGGCAGTCGCGGTGAAATTGCCTAAGAGAGTGAACATAGAGTGTGTCTTGGTATCCTAGAAAGCTGCATCGATAGAAGAGGGAGTGATCTGATGCTACCATCAATGCCACTGCTTGATGTTTTTGGGGTCCTGCCGTGTTCTCAAATGTCATGTCCTTTGCCCAAAATCCATCGCCGAATACCCCTAAGGACATTGTAACACTTCGTTAGACATACACATAACATGTTTATGATCTACATACAAAAATCGTGTATTGTACATGAAACATTTGCTTCAGATAAGAATTTTGTGTTAAAAATACAGGATCAAATATTTTTGCAGGACAGAAATTTGTTTTACTTACTGAATGTAGCGGAATTGACAGTGGTTCCGCCATCAACGACATTTTTACGACCAGTGACCACAGTTTTACCCATGCCATCTCCAACAAACATGACATTAGTTAGGTGCCTTGGAATTTCAACTATCTCATCATATACTCCTGCTTTTACATACACTATTACTCTGCTTTCTCCTCTGTTTTTTATCTTGTCTATTGCATCCACTGCTTTGTTGATGGTTTGGTGATTACCTGAGCCGTCTCTCGCCACCACGATATCTGCCCTCGAAGTTGCCGGCTTCCAGGACATTAATCTTCCCACAAATGGTTTTCCTTTTGGCCTCCCTTGTGCCCTTACTGCAGAGTTTAAACTTCAAATTTCAAGTTTTATTTCTTTCTTTCAAAGACTGTTTAACTTAGACCAAAGTTTTATCATGTAGTATCACATATTCACGTGCCTATTATTTATTCACCAATCTACTAGTAAAACGATAAAAGTTATACAAAAAATAAAAATTAAAAAATTAAAAAATAAATAAAAAATATCAAAAGAATCTTAGCATACATTTAGCATGTTTTAAACTTTAGGTAAGAGTCTTACCAAGTGAGTCAAGTCTTGCTTAGTATATTTATATATATGACTCGTATATGCAACTAAAGGCCAGAGTCGAGGTGTAACTATACAATTACACACTACGTCTACTTGAAACAAAACGTAAAATCAATGTTGTTAATATTGTACATGCAAAAAAATCAAAATTTAAAAGCTTGATTACCTTTTGATCTTTTCCAAAACCTTTGTTTCTTTGCATGAAAAGCCAATGCTTCATATAATAACTTGGTCAAATTTTGCGATATAGGATGAAGTTCTTCACGTACACCTTTCTCTTTTAGTCCATCCAAACAAGTCCTATGGCTTGTGATTGCACCACTTAGCCATGCTAACGCGTCATCATGGCTAAATTTCCCATCTCTTTCAACTAAACGACCGAGCCCTGACTCAGCTTGATCATATAGCTTAGCACAATCGATCATAGCCATTTTAATTTTATAATTATTTTTAGAGTTTTTATTATTATTGGCATAATAGACGTTATTAATATAATTGTTATCGGTGTTGTCCTTGTTGTTTAAGCTACCTTGAACACTCTTGTGATGACGACCATGACCATGACCATGACCACGACCAATGGATAAAGTCGTCGACTCATTCTTGCTATCGTTATAGCTTAAGCCCCCTTGATGACCGCCGTCAAGTTGGTGATAGTGGCCTAAGAACAAAGAAGGATCATCAAATGATGATGATTGATCCCAATACTTGGCTTGAAGAACCATGGTTTGAGCCAATTGAACCATCTTTAGGTCTTGTTTGGTTGATGAAGCCATCGCTAGGAAAGAATATACCAAAAAGATAAGGGTAGTAACAAGAGTGGACATTTTATTTTTCTTAATTTCTTGTAATAATTATTTTTTCTTGGCGGTAGAGATAGATGAGTAAGGCTAGAGTCAAGTTGTTATTTTGTTCTTTATATATAAGTGAGTTGAGTCATAAATATTATTATGAGTTTGTAAATTAAAGATATGTACTTATATATAGTTTATATATATGCATAGAATTAATTACATTAGACTATTAGAGTTTAACCAATTGGTTGTTGGTGTAGTGGTGATTGAGACTACACTTGGTAGGGAGGACTCGTGATCAATCCCCCACAACAACAATCGGGAGGGGACTGGAACCTAACCACCCAGAACTAATCCCCAAATCTGGATTAGCCAAAGGATGAACCGGGTAGAACAAAAAAAAAAAAAAATTACATTAGAGTTTAGAAAACTTACACATGGAAGCTAGTATATACTAAGACAGGTGGTTGTGAGTTTGTGATATGAACTAAAAATAATGTTGGACGTGAAAGAATCCAAAGTCCAAATGATAAAAGCTACATAGATTTTCCAATTTTTCATGCATAAATATTCATGTCATATGTAAATTGGCTAGGCGAAATAGTAAACATATATGATGCATGATTTGTCGTCATTTCATTCAAGTTGCTAATTTATGTTAATTTTGGGTTATGTTATGGCATTCGTGTCAATGGTTGCAAAATGACGTTTTCATTTTCAAAAATATGACTATGAGCATCTGGACCGGACATGAGAATCATCTTTAACTATAATGAAGGGACGTTCCTTACCAACTTACCTTCTATGTAAAGCTATTACTAATTCAGTATCGCCTACCTTACTTACTGTAGATAAACATACACATAGTCGAGGTGTTTGAACGCGTGGAACATAGGGTGTCTTGTAAGTAACTTTGTTATGCTATGCATGAAAGTACAAATTTTAGCTCAGCTGGCGAAATAGAAGAATAATGAAGACACATAATTTCCGTTGAAGAAGTTAAATTTACACATATTTGGGGGCATCTTTTGCATGGTTTAATTTTCCAGAATAACAAGTCAAGGTTGATGCTAAAAAGGTTTGCGGTTAGAGTTGGATGTTAGTTGTTATAATGCCATGTATTATGGTTTACGCACCTGGACATACGACATTGTTCTTGAACCATCAGTATCACCATTTATCATTTCCATGCTCCTCAACAAAATTGTCATTATTCTAATAATGCATTTATATATTTATTACTATGTCAATATTATTACCTTTGACTACTTAGCACTCTAATGTTGAAAACCATATTGGATTTTTAAAATTGTTTATAGGATTTTGTTAACAATACTCTAAAATAATACCAAGTACGTTTATAATCTTATTAGCCTTGAGCCCTTAAAGTTATTAGAATTAGTTTGGGAGAACCTATTATCTGCTCCCGGGTGTACTGTTTATTCAAATAATTTGCAAATGTTTATCCTTTAAAGTCCATTGAATTCTTCAAAGATGAGAAGAAACTTGCAAAGTTGGATTTAAATCTTTAAATACTTCACGATTTCAATTAATTATTGAGCGAGTTGGGACAGGCCAACCGGGTCAATAACAGGGTGTCTTATGAAGGGATAATTTAACAGTGCCTTAATTTGCTTTCAGTTCAAGGATGAAAACATACAAAGCATACTTTTAAGTGGGGAAAAAATATATAAATTGCGCTAGAAGAAATTGTCTACAGGTACAAATTAATATTGAAGAACAATTATGGAACACAAAGCAACCTCGGTCAAAATCGCGGGATTGGATTTCAATTCCGCCACACATTAAAGGGTAATTACAACTAATGTGCCCTTAATTAAGACTTCTAACGGTGTAGGTGTAGGTGACGGGAAAAAAGACGCTGAATCTCAACGAACTGTCATGCTCTGCATTGCCTGTGTGGCATCCTCGGTTGCCTTGTTTGCTTGGATTGTGCTGATTACGCTTGCAATATTTCCCTATTATAGAAAGTTAACAAAGTAGCAAGCACAAATTATTACATGATAGTTGCAGCCTAAAATTATTGACAAATCACTTCACTTTTGGGATGGAGGATGTTTCAAAAAGCCTTACCTTCCATGTTCCTAGCTTTGATCGAAGGTTTTCCCATTGTTGTTGCCCAAACAATCTCTCAGTGTAACGACTGCACATAGAAAGGGATCAGCAAAAATTTATTTAAAAAAACTAATAAGATATGGTATGTTAATAAGATATGACACGGTAATATGAACAGTTTCATGAACATACCTCACAATGACAACCTGATTCATCTGGTCCATCTTACAGTCGAGCAACTTGGCAGTAATGGCTTTAACAACCCAATATTCCACCTCATTGTCATTGACCTGAATTACACAAGGCATAATATTAACAAAGGTAAACCCCAGACTAGTTAAAACCTGATTAAGTAGGGAAGCAACTCACACTAAGAGTGTCCTTGATAAGAGCATATGGAATTTGCCCTGACTCGCTAGAGGCAAGATCTACTAATGACATCAGCCTCATCTTTGCCAGACAATCTTCATGAACAAGACCTACAAAAACGAAGGCAGTTCAGCAATCGTCATATCTCTTCCTTAAATAACAGAGAAGAAAACTAGCTTTTATTTAAAATCATCGATTGCGAGAAAATTATATGTTACCAATGAGGTTTTGAATTCCAAAACAAAGACCTTCATCACAGCATTTGGCATACATCACAATAGCAATTCAATCATAAATTGTGACAAAGTCTTACTTACAAAAATAAGGTTCTAAATTCAAGCAACATAGATCCCCATATCATAGGCACACAGAACACTTCACATGCATTATTTCCATTTGAAGTACAAAGCATACAGTAAAAATCCTATTTTCTACTAAAGTAAATAGTCACCCGAGGAAATCAGGGAACTAAGGTTTAAGGAGTCTGAAGCCTGAGAATGGCAAAGAGGTGAAGGCATAAACTGAATAGCCAGAAACATGAGCAAATCTTTCTTGTTATACTTCGTATATATTATCGTCACGATTTCAAATACAGTTTGTCTCGTCAGGCTGTTGAGAAATGTAAGTCAGTTTGTATTATCCATCAAACTATACAAAATCATTTTGGACTACTCGGTTATTAAATCATGTCAGAGTTGCTTGTACGTCAATTTAGTAAGAGAGGGATGATTTATATATACTCCATTCATTCTTTCTCTTCCAAATATAATTTAAAACAAGAATCTGTTTCATAAAAGGTTCAGCTCTCAAACAGTACAAAGATCTGATGTACAAGAAATGCAATTTACCGTAGTTCTTCAGCAAAGTAGAGTTTGCTGCCTGAAATTCTATGTAAGAATCCAACCTCTGAATTAGGAAAATCTTTAAGAGTTGGTAAAGCAGTGAGTATTTAGCATCATTCTCTAGCTGTAACACTGATGGCATGTCCAGCAAATCACACTGTGACATATAAAACATACATTCAAAAAAAATTTAGTCCATCTTGTGAGATGAAGGGGCAGAAATCGAAATAGTAATATCAGTACGAATTATCATGACTCACAAAAGAAACCAAAGACTTAAAGTGACATTTTAGCAACAACAACAACAAAAAAAAAAAAATAAAAAAAAAAAAAAAAAATTAGCAAAAGTATATCATCATCCAAGGCAATTAAAGTGACATAATTTCATTAACTGTGAACTGCACTTGAAGAGTAAGCCTTCAAAAGCAGAGCAAATGTAAGGAAAATAATTTCATAGCCTTAATTCATACTCCAGCCAACCCACCCAGTCACCCAAGCGGCCAAGCCCCATTATTAACTAATGGTGTAGACATACCTTGGTCATAATATCAGATTAAATTCTGCTGAAGTAACATATAAGCAGCAGACAAACATACCTGAAACATGTCAGGTCCTTTCACAAATTCTATGATAGCATTGGCGGCCTCCTCTTTGGTCTCACTCAAAGCTTTTTCATCCTCAGTAGAAAAAGTTGCCAAATACTTCGAAAGGAAATTGAATGATTCCTTTCCAGAGCTGAAAGTACAAAATTCAAGCACCATAATAAAATATTTAAAAAGGAATAAGACATTTATGTGGCAATGGCAGGGGGGAGGGGGAAGGATAGAATACCTTTTACTCTCTTTCAAAACGTTGAAAATTGCAAGAAAAAGCTCTCTCTGGTCTTGGATGCTAAGATTCCATTCACTCAAGAAACTGTCAATTTTCTTGATGGAAGGTACAACATGCTCAGTAACTTTACCACTGGTAGCCAGGTTGAGGGCCTTCAAGTAAACATAGAAACGGCTGTATGCGTCCTCAAGAAGGTTATAAAGATTGAACAATCTGGAGATAAACACACTAAATTAGAATGTCTGACCAATTTTACAAGCTAAAGGGAAAAGGAGTTGACAAAAAAAAGAAAAAGATATGTACATCTTCAGTCGCAGAGCAGGCTTCTCATTTGGTTGTTGAACAATTTTAGCAGAAATAAGTTTCACGATCTCCAAAACCTCTTCGGGGTTTTCAGACTTTGTGACAAGGTTGCAAATTACTGTGTAGATGCACTCAATATCTGAGGTAAAAGGAGATTATAAGTGACTCAGTACAAGAAAACATATCCTACTCAACGAAATCAATGAAGGGGGGTTTATTGAGATGGGGAGGGGTTACTAGCTCACTACTGTTGAAGTCAGTCAGCAGTCTCTTAAAAGAATAACAGCAACTAACTTACACGATCATGGAGATGTCTAAGGAAGATGTTCGACAGTCATAAGACAACTCTGTAATACGTATAACATAAATCCTACCTTATACAACCTAAGTTGAAAAGATCAGCAACTTTCACAAGTTTGTAAATTATCATGTCTCCCAGGTCATGTAATTTAGCACTGATGCCAAGCAAAATCTCCCTCGAATGCCACAATTTTGGGAAGATAACAGAAATAATAAGAGCAAATTTAGAGCTCTTACAACTTTAACACACGCTAAAGTCCTAAAGATGCACATGAAGTGACTAACCAGTCACCCCAAGTCAATATTACCAGCTGAACTCTAACAACTTTCATTAGAAAGAAAGCTAAAAAAACTAGAACTAGAGAGGTTCTTCCTCTTTGGAGCACCGAACACATACATCAACTAGTACCTAGCTCAATACCTATACAAAAAAACATCTTATACCTACTTCTCTGCCCTTCAAAAGCTTTGTTCGTTAAATAAAGTGGAGTAGTGGATAGAAACACTCAAGTGTGCTCAAACTGATCCTAGGAGGTGTTAGATCTTGGTAGTATCTAACACGGATGCAGAAAAGCTTGTTTGAGGTGTTAGATACATGTCGTACATGAGTGGGAAGATATTAGGATTATTAGAGTAAAGAAGTCTAATATTGTAA